TAAGGGAAGCTTACATTGTGCCGCGCAACAGTAGGTATGCCAATCACGAAGTCTGTTTTTGACAGCCTCAACGAGTCGTTTCCATACGTAAGTGCTGGTCGAAGAGCGCTACCCGAGACAGTATACAGGTGTGGCAAAAAATCAATAAATGTTGGAACGGATAATACAACAGATTCCTGAAACAAATGAAATCAGTGGCACAAAAAACTGTCAAAAAAAGCCGCCTCATCTACGCATTTATTGGCGTTCTGAACTACATTTGTCAGCTATTAATATCTTATTTAAAGTAGCAGTTTATCAATTTGAGCTGACTTCAGTGGCTTTATCAAAATGTACTTGAAAGAAACCGCAAAATTATTTGTGCCCTTCTAGCCAAATACCGTTTTTTGGGGCAATTTTTGCCTCACCGGCTCAACACTGCACCATTTCACTCAACTTTTCACATACTGTCGTCGCATACAATTCGGTGTCCCCTTCCCGTTCTTCGTTACGTCAAGCGATGGAGAGACATGAAAGTGAGCAGCCTGCTGCAATTCTCCGATGCTTTTCAAATAATTCAGGCACGAAAATGAGAAAGACAAAAGCATCTTCAATCGTAGCTCAAAATAACAGAGAGAAGCAGGCCGACCACACGATAAGGTGCTAGCGGTAGTGGGTGCATCACCTGGTAGCGCAAACGATCTATCATCGGCCTCAGCTTTTGACGAAAGCCCAGCGCTGGCATTTCTTTTCCTCAAGAGTTCCTACCGGCATCACACATCGTGCCTAAGAAACAGATCTTCAGACCTACGCGCAGGTGCATTTGTTAGCGCCTTCGCCAAACAGCAAAACACAGTGACGAAAATGGCAATCAAAATATTTCAGCAATACAAAGCTCCAATCTTCCAGTCGTTGGTAAGGTGTACTGTCGTGATCTAGGAGTGGCACCGTTCGCAACGAGGTGCTCAACAATTGCAAAACAGCTAAAGCCTTGCCAAATACACCTGCCGCGTGAACCGCTGAGCTAGAAGCGCCTCCAGAAGAAACGAACAGTGGCATCGCTAGTGGTCTGATTAGCAAATGATGCAGCACTGGTCAAACCCAGCAAGAGAAACTGCTCATTGCAGAACACTGATTACAGCTAATTCAGGTTTACCAACTATGCTGCGGCAGTGCTTGCTCATTTTAATGCGTTTTTTGCGCCTATGCAGTGCAGAAAACGCATAGTGACGAGGGGTCGGTCTGTGTGTTCGTCTGCGCAGATTTTTCATCTCGAGACATACAAAAGCTACTGGGGTCAAACTTTGGGAACTTGATCTACATGCGTGCGCGGCTCTCCAAAATGGGCGCTTTTACCCGCTTGGTACCCATGTACGGGCCCGCCAAAATTTTTTTCGGGTAAGTTGCTAACTCGGAAACCTGAAGAGCTAGAAGACTGGGATTTTAAGGAGATGTTCTCCGCCCAAGTAGGTATTAATGAGTTCAAACCCAGTTCTCGGGTATGCGTCGTACCTATGTACGGGCTCGTGAAAATTTTTTTAGGCAAGTTTCTAACTCGGGAACCTGAGAAGCTAGAAGACTGGAGTTTTAAGGGGACATTCCACGTCCAAGCAGGTGTTAATGAGTTCAAACCCAGCCACCCGGTATGTGTGGTTCCCATGTTAGGACCAGTGAAAGTTTTTTGTGGGTAAGTTGCTAACTCGGAAACCAAGAAAGCTAGAAAGCTTAAATTTCAAAGGGATGTTTTCAAACGGCCCTGGTGGTTAGTCTTTATTATCTTAGCTAGAAGCATTTGCCGGAAAAATCGGTACCACTAGCGACAAAAACCTGCGGGGAACTGTGCAAAAAACGCATCTCCGCATTGGCAGTCGATGCGCTGACCATTTATTTCTTTTTGAATTTGCTTATTTTGCAAGAGTAATCAGTTATGAA